GTAGGTCTTCGATTCTTTTGCCTGTTCCTGTTGGGGCACAGGCGGAGGAAAAGGAGAAAAAGAAGAAGAAAAAGAGAAAGAAGAAGAAGAAGAAGAAAAAAGAGAAGAAAGCGTTAAGGGTCACCAAGGCGTCTACGAAGGATGAGGGGACGGCCGCTGGTACCGGTCGAGGGGAGTCTTCCCCTCCTTTGACCCTACCCTCGTCAAGCCAGCGGCCGCCTCGCGGAGTACTCCCGCGTACGGAAGCGGTCACCTTGCGTCTTGAAGGGGAGGGCATGTCGTATGCTCAAGTCCTTCGGGACGCGAGGAATAAAATGGACTCAAGGTCGGCGGGCGTCTCCAGGGTCTGTCGGACCCTGGAGGGGCACTTGTTGTTGGAGATGGGGGAGAAGACCGCAAATCCAAGGCGGACTTCCTCGCCTCCAAGTTGAAGGAGGCTCTTCTTGAAGGAGTCACGGTGGGTCGTCCATCCCGAAACGTGGAGATATTAGTTTCGGAATTAGACGAGTTCACCACGGAGGACGACCTCTGCAAAGAGTTTGTGGCAGAGTTTGGTGGCGGGAGTGGCGTTAGGGTAGTATCCTTGCGTCGCTCCCAGCCCGTGGGTAGAATCGCCTTGGTTCGCTGCCCAGCTGAGGCGGCGGCCAAAGCGATTAAACGGAAATTGCCGGTGGGCTGGGTGGTGGCAAGAGTGCGAACACTCCGCCCTCGCCCCTGCAGTGCTACAGATATTTCCAGCCTGGGCACTGCAGGGCTCTGTGCCCCAGCCAGGTCGACCGCAGTGATCTTTGTTGTTGCTGTGGTCGGCCGGGGCACAGAGCGGCCGGTTGTACTGAGGATGAGAGGCGTCCAATCTGTGAGAAGTCGGGCCGGGAGTCCTCCCACCGAATGGGTAAAGCCCGGTGCTCGGCTATCGGCCGGGGGGCTTCCGTGCCCGTTAGCAAACCCTGACGAGGATAGGGAGGATGCGGTTTTTCCCGGCTCCAACACAAAGATTCCGGGAGCCGCTCCTCCGTATATCTGGTGCGTTTAGCACCAGACGCCTGGTTCTATTACAAGAGACCAGGCAGTGTTGGGTGAAGGCCCGGTCCCCGTTGTTTTGAGCCCTAGGTGGGGCTCAACTCAGCGGTGGCTGAGCGCAGTGTGGGGGGAGGACCTCCCTCTTGTCTCGCGTTTTGAGACAATAGGGAAGTCAATACTACTATCATGGGGTCAAGTCCGTTTCGGCGTTTGACTTGAGGCCGAGTGGGGTTTCCCCCTCATTGCACTCGGCCCGCAGACGGCGGGTAAAAAGCTGTGTCCCCCCTCCCCCCGATTGAGAAGTAGTTTTGCTCCTCCATTTAAGATTATAGGGGGGCGAAAGTCTTCATGCCTATCGGGCTTCCATTGGGTCAAGCTAAAAGCAGTACCGGGGCAGCCCTCAAAGGGTGAAAGGTGGACACCGCAGGGGTTTTAGTGGGTATTCCCCGCTGGAGTGCGCTCTGGCGGGGCAAGTTTCACACTACCCTGGCCCAGACTTAGTCTAGGTCAGGGTGTGCGTAAACGCATTTCCCCTGCGTAAATAAAAAAAAAAAGGTTACTTAGAACTCTGGGCGACTTTCCCCCACCTTGCCGTGGTGCCCAGGCTTAGGGGAGCAAAGATCCGACTGGTTATGTCAGCGGGGGCTTATTTAAGAGTCCCTGGCAGAGTCACCTATGCTGAACAGGCCTTTGGGGAGCTCCTGTACTAAGAGGGGAAATAGAGGAAAGAAAACCTCGAATAAAAACCGGGGGTTCCCAGCCTCGCTCAGCACCTTTTGCCGGTGCAACTGGGATAGGGGAGAAAACCTTGACTTCAAATCCGGGGTCGTCCGACCTCATCAGCCACGGTGCAATCGAACTAAGGGAGTAAACCCTGACTAAAAATCCGAGGTGTCCAGTTCCGAGAGGCGCTTTCGGGCCGGCCACTAAGGAAAGGAAAACCCTAACTCCAAACCCAGGGAAGATGGGCTCGTTACCTTTGGCCGGGGACCGTCCTAGGTAAAGGACACACCGAAATCAAACTAGCCTTATACAAATATGGATAATGGCAAAGAAGGACGAGAAGAAGTTACCGAGGCAGATCGACCAGACGGTCAGTTTCCGGCACGAGGGTGGTATTGTCCCGGCCACCTTCGGGTCGTCATCATATAACGGGCTCCGTGATGCTTGCCCCGCAGGGGCATCACGGGATAATGCGTCTGCGATGACCGGTGCGGAGTCACCAATCAGGGAGGGAAGTTACTCTTCTGTTCTTCGCCCGTCAAAGACGGGCGAAGACGGGAAGTGACGCCGCCGGGCGTAACAACCGCGCATGCGAAATATTACCCAGCACGGACAAGTCGGAAGGAGAGGAGGCTGGAGGCCAACAACATCAGGCCTTGTCACGAGCTTCAGCCGGGGTTCTCAAATCAACACTTCGAGGTTCCCCCGTCGGACGCTCCCCTCCCGGACACGGATTCAGACATGGAGGTCGAATTTGTGTCCCTTAAAAAAGTTAGAGCTCAGAGGACAAAACCACTAAATCCCTTCCTTCTCTTTGCTGAGAGGGCCACCATCTAAGGAGATAATAAAAGGAAAAGAGGGCAAGGCCGTCTTCCGACCACGGGCGAGTTTGTCGGTCTGGCAGCTGCCAAAAAGCAGCTGAACGACGAGGAAGAAAGAGCCCTACGCATCCAGGCAGAAAAGGAGTTGGCCGCGGATTCTGATACAATCCGTGTGTCAACCAGATCAACTCCTGCGAGCCGGCCTTCTTCCCTTAATCGGGCGAAGGGTGACGACAGTAATGCCACCTCAGCGCCGGTACTTGTCTCTAGGAACATGCCGACGCCGCAGGTGATTGAACACGCCGCGAAAATGGCGGATGCGGTGAGGACACTGGCGGTGAATTTCAAAAACATGAAGGGCACCTTTGTCCGCCAGTTCAAAAAGGCGGCTACTGGCTTAGAAAAAGCCGTAGCAATTGTACCAGGCCGGATGGACTCGTCGGGAAAAGTCCACCGCCTCGAGACGCTCAATAACAAGCTGAGCGCAAAGGTCACCGGCCTGCGTGATAAGGTGGCCTCTTTGGAGCGGGACAGGGGCGCTATTCAGGCCCGACTGGATAGCGTCCTCCAGGAAAAAAGACGTCTACAAGGGAAGGTAGACGCCCTTCATGAAGAAATGAGGGACATGAGAAAGGAACTCATGTCCCTCAAAATGGATCGGCTGAAGGAGACAAAGAAACGGAAGAAGCTGGAAAGCCGGCGTCCCTCCTCTCCCTCAGCTCCATCCTCCTTGCAGCAGAGGCCAAAGGTCTCTCCACCGAGGCCTCCCCCGTCGCCAGTGCCGGGGGACTCCCGCAAAGCGGTCCCTCCGTCACCCGGAGAAGGCCGGAGGCAGAGTTCCTCGCAACGGGTGTACTCGGAGATGGTCGCCAAACGTCGCGACCTACCGTCCCAGACAGCGAGTGACCAAGAGGGTCCAAAAACCTTCAAGCAGATGGAGAGCCGGCTAATGGATGTTGTACGCTCCCAGTTAAATGTCTTTTGGGAGCAAGTCCATTTCCGGCTCCTCCGCCCAACACTGGACTCTGAGGGAAGTGGTACGGCCTTACAGCCTCCTCCTCCCTAAAACAAAGACCCCGCTAAAATGGGCCCTAAGGGGAGCGGTGCCGATCCACCCGCAAAACCCGCTCCCCCGAAAGGTAATTCTTCTTTCCCTTCTCAGGAGGAGAAGAAGAAAAAGAAGAAAAAAACCAAAAAAGCAAAGAAGACAGGCGGAGGAAACGGAGGAGAACTTGCAAACCTGACTGGCCGGGACAACACCCGTGCGCCAGATCGGTCCGGCTCCTCTTGCCAGCTCCCCGCTCCAAGATCCCTTGAAAAACCACCTGGGACATCGTGGTCCCAGGTGGTAGGGAGAAAGAAGAAGAAGGCACAGGCTGTGCCGCCTCTTTCGGCCAGGGGTGGTAAGACCGCTGTCTCGGGAGCTAAGTCCGGACACGCGCCTATCACCCCTTAAGGTGGGCAAACCCCCTCGCTCGGCAGCAATTGTTCTATCCGCCGCCCCTGGTGCAAGCAAGGAGGTGGTCGCAAAGGCGCTCGCGGAGATGAGGGCGCAAATACAGCTGCCAAGCATTGGAATTTCCGCCCTCCGGCCAAAGCGGGCATTAACCGGGGCTCTTATATTGGAGATCCCCGGCGAAGATAGTGAGGTCAAGGCGGACAGGCTCTTTGCCAAGATGTCTGCCTTGGCCGAGAACCTCCAGGTAAGAGTCACCAGGCCAACTGAAACCTGCGAACTGCGGGTCAGAGGCCTGGATGACTCAATCACGCCGGAGGAAGTAAGAGACGCCGTGGTAGCCGTTAGGGGTTGTCGGCCGACTGATATCAAAGTTGGCCAAACTCGCGCTTCCTTCAATCGACTATTCACGGCGTGGATCCAGTGTGGATCCCAGCCGCAGCGCAAAAGGTCGCGGACGAAGGATCCCTACTGGTGGGGTGGGTGAAGGCGCCGGTCGAGGTGCTGGAGCGACGGCCTCTTCAGTGCCACAGATGCCTACAACGCGGTCACGTCATCGCGACGTGCACGTACACCGCGCCGGAGGAAGATAGGAGGGGCCGGTATTACCGGTGTGGAGAGCGGGGACACGTTGTGGCAACGTGCAAACGAACCCTTAAATGCCCGCTATGCGCCGATCTCAGCCGGCCGTCGGCCCACCGACTCGGCAGCCAGGCTTGTGCTCCAGTTTTTAAGGGAAAAGCCAAACGGGCACAGAGAGCCGCTAGGGATGGACCTGCGCCCACCCCTGAGAAGGACGCAACTCCCGCCTTGCAGGCGCCAATTGCAACGCCGGAGCCTGCAGAAGGGACCACACAGACCTCTACGAGTGGAGCCCAGACAGAGGAGATAGAGGTGGACGAGTCACTGGTGTCGTAATGGCTCCCTCACCTCTTCTCCTGTAGTGCAATCTAAACCACTCCCGCGGGGCCCAGGACCTGATGGTCCAAAGTTTCGCGGAGTTGGATGGGGCTGTAGCGGTTGCGGCCGAGCCATACAACGTCCCCGATCACCCTTTGTGGTCGGGATCCGCAGACGGCTCGGTCGCGGTTTATGTAAGGTGAGGCACGAAAGGGGGGACCACCGTTTTCTCTCCGTTGGAGAGAGGCAATGGCTTCTTTGCTGTGCAGTGGGGGGAACTGGTGGTCGTAGGTAGATACTTTTCGCCCACAAGGCCCTTCCAAGAGTTTCGGGAGTACCTGGACGAGCTCAACCTAGTCGTTAAACGGCACTTGGCTTGTCCGGTTCTGATTCTGGGGGACTTCAACTCCAAGTCTGTCACTTGGGGCTCTCCCAGGACCGATCAGAGAGAAATGGCACTCGAGGACATGCTGGCGGCCTGCGGGCTCTCTGTAGTCAACGAGGGCTTGCAGCACACCTGCGTTAGGCAAAGTGGGGGGTCTATTGTGGACGTAACGTTCGCCTCCCCTTTGGTGGCTGCGCGCAGTGTGTCCGAGTGGCGTGTCAGGGATGACATGGAAATCCTGTCGGACCACAAGTACATAACCATGAGAGTCGACGTGCTCCTTGCCCGCCAGCGGGGTCGCCGTTGGGCGAAATAAAAGCCACCGTCCCAGAAATGGGTCCTAAGGAAACTGGACCCACATCTCCTGTCCGGTGCTGCTTAGATCGCGGCCTGGCCAACTCCACCGGCCGAGCCGCGTGACCTCCAAACAGAACTTTGGTGGTTCCGGGAAACGTTGGTTGCAATTTGCGATACCGCAATGCCACGCTCCCGAGGACCGCCGAATCGGAGGTCGATGTACTGGTGGACGGACGAGATTGCCGGCCTAAGAGCCGAGTGCGTCCGTGCCAATCACCGGTGCACCCACGCCCGTCGCCGACTCCCGGGTGACGACGAGGCGGTCCGAGCAGCGGAGGTGGCGCATGGGGACCTTTGCGTGGCACACAAGGCCCTCAGAACCGCCATCAATAAGGCAGAGTCCCAAGCGTGGAAGGAGCTCATGGAGACTCTGGATGCGGATCCGTGGGTGCGCCCGTACCGGCTTGTGATAAACAGGCTGCGGCCGTGGACGCCCCCGGTCACCGATAGTCTCGACCCCCAGCTCCTCGAGAGAGTTGTATCCACCCTCTTCCCTGATGAGAGAGGTGAGTGGCCCTCTTGGGAGCCTGAATTGGACCAAGTGGTTCAATGGCCCAACGACCTGGGGGTCACAGAAGAGGACCCTTACGGGGCCGGAACACAAGACGTGTTCGGGGTCCGAGTTGGTTATGCTCGGACTTGGAGCAGGAAAAAGAGGGTGCAGGTGGACAACACCTATCTACCCATTCCACGGCTCAGTCCGGCCTATCTGGTGCCGGAAAGGAGTGTCCCGGTAGTTGTCGGGTCATTCTAGAAAAGATCGAGCCGATGGACGTCCCTCTACCGGACGATGGCTCCGATTCGGAGCTTGAGGTCGTCCTGGAAACAAGGTCATTACTGCCGCCAAAACCTTAACAACAACACAAGGCGCGCAGTAAGTCCTGCCCCTTCCAGCCTTTTGGGTTGCCCAAGAGGACAAATAGCTGTGGAAAGAGGAAGAGGAGAGGGCGCGGTCCCCTAACAACCGGGGAATATATAAGCCTAGCTGTCGCCAAGCGCAGCTTGAATGAGGCCAAAAAGCGGGAAGTGCAGCTTAGGGCTGAGGAGGAGTTGCTCAACGACTTCGACGCCATCCGAGTTTCAACCCGCTCTCAGGGCGTGCCCTCTACCTTCAACCGGAAAAAAGGCACTGCAAAAGGGCAGCCTTTTGGGGTCGTCATGTCAGAGGACATGGCGACCAAACAGGTTGTCATACAGGCTGCCAAGCTGGCAGCGTCGGTGGAGGACATAGCCCAAAAGTCCAAAAACTTGAAGGGCGTGTTCGTTCGCCGCTTTAAGGAGGCGGCTAGTGGCTTGCGACAGGCCGATAATATCGTAGCTAGTCGCACAAACTCGGAGAAGGGCGCTGTCCAATCATGGCTGCACAACGTCCAGCAGGAGAACAAGACACTCCACTGTGAAGTGGACGCGCTCCATGAGGAACTAGGGGACCTGAGAACAGAATTAACCCTTCTCTGCATGATGATGGAAATTTTAATCATAACATTTAGTGAAGAAAAAAAGGTACTCAAAAATTGTAAACTAAATATGTGACAAAAAAAAAAAAAAATCATGCAAAGAAGGGTTAACCTCCCTCAGAATGGCAAGATTAAAGGGGGTTCGGGGGGAGAACAAGCCTAAGGACTGCTTGACTTTTCCTCCTCCACAACCTCGAGTCACCCTTTCTTCCTCAAGAGTAGAAGAGGAGCCATCCATGCCGTCCTCCTTCCGGGCGCCGGGGGTGCCTCACGTAAGGGCCACGCCTTCCGCGCCTGTGGAGGACATAGACATGGATTCCTCAGTAAGAGACGGGCCGGGAGTGTCGGAAACGCCCCAACACTCATCTCCGCCGGCGGCGGATAAAAGGCCCAAGTCCCTCCGAGATGTAGAGAGCCGGTTGATGGACAAGCTCGGGAAGAAACTAGATATCGTCTATGAGTAAATCCACCTCCGGTTCCTCCGCCCATCTCTGGGTACCGCCGGGTGGGGAGGTGTTGCAGGTAAGGAAACAGGAGCAGAGGGCAAACCCCCTGCTACTACCGCCCCCAAAGAGGAAACTTCTCCTGCTAAGCAGGGGAAGAAGAAAAACAAAAAGAAGAAGGAAAAGAAAAAGAGAGCGGATCGGGAAAAGGGTGGAGGACCCTCGACCGCTGCCGGCGGAGCCAAGGCTCACGCGCCGACGCAGCCTGAGTTCCCCAGCCAGTCCCTCGACCGACCCGCTCTCCCGGCCCCACTAAGAGAGACTTCGTCTCAGGTGGTGGGGCGGAAGAAAAAAGGAGAAAGGAAGGAGGATCCTCCTGTTACCTCGAGAAAAGGGAAGCTTACTGCTCAAGGGCCCAGACCCGGGCAGCGCTTGTCTCAACCAAAGGTGGCTGGCCTCCCCGCCATGCGGCCATCACGCTCACCCTTGTCCCGAGATCCGGGGCAGACGTCGGGGGGATGTTGGCCAAGGCAAGGAAGGCTATAGCGCTGGTGGATTATAGCATCCCCAACGTTGTGGTCAAGAGGGCCATTACGGGAGCCTTCATATTAGAAATCCCCGGGAAGAACAGCGACGAGAAGGCAGACAAACTTCGATCTGCCATGGTCGCTGCCCTGGGGGAGTCCAAGGTGCGGATAGCGAAACCCGTTAAGACATGCGATCTCCGCATGAGGGGCCTCGATGAGTCCGTAACCTCGTACAAAATTAAGACAGCCGTGGCGACGTTGGGGATTGTTGGCTAGCCGATATACAGTCGAGCTCGCGCTTCCCCCAACGGCCTGTTCACGGCGTGGATCCAGTGCCCTGTCGCTGCTGCGCGCAAAGTCGTGGGTGCTGGATTCTTGCTGGTGGGGTGGGTGAAGGCTCCGGTTGAGCCGTTAGAGCGCCTGCCCCTACAATGCTTCAGATGCCTCCGGCGCGGCCATGTAACAGCGACTTGTCGCTACACCGCGCCGGGGGAGGACAGGAGGGGCCGGTGCTACCGGTGTGGCAAGTTAGGCCATGAGGCGGCGGGGTGCAAGGTGGCCACGGTAAAATGTCCGCTTTGCACCGACCTTGGTAGGCTTGCGGACCACTGTCTGGGTGGAAAGGCCTGCGCCCCGATTCCCCGCAGAGGGAAACGCGGGGCAAAAAAGGCCGCTACGGGGACAAGTCCCACCCCCGCGCCAGAAAGAAGTCCCGCTGCCACTCCAGCCAAGGCAGCGGTTGAAGGAAGGGTTAGCCAGCCCACCCCGGTGAATGGTACCCTGGAGGAGGAGATAGAAGTGGAGGCTCCACCGACAGCGTAATGGCTGTCTTCCTCCAAGGTAACCTGAACTTAGGAAGGACCTTATGGTCCAGAGCCTCGCGGAACTAGACGGGGCGATCGTGGTCGTGGCCGAGCCGTACAATGTCCCCGACCACCCTTCGTGGGCGGGGGCAGAAGACGGCTCGGTCGCAGCATATTTCCGCAGGGGGGGGGGTGGTTGCAAGTCCTTGGTTCTCTCTCCTTTGAAGAGAGGCCGAGAGTTTGTTGTAATCCAATGGGGGGAACTAACGGTGATGGGGGTTTACTTCTCGCCGTCGAGGACCCTCGAGGAACTGGAGGGGTTCTTGGACGAGCTAGGCCGGGTTGTTCGCCGGCACCAGACTCGTCCAATGCTGGTCCTGGGGGACTTTAACTCCAAGTCTACGGCTTGGGGCTCCCCCAGGACCGACCCAAAGGGCGAGGCCTTAGAGGCCTTTGCGGCGGCTAGCGGGCTTGTAATTTTTATCCAAGGCTTGCTGCACACGTGCGTCCGGCGCAGCGGGGGGTCCGTAGTGGACGTAACCCTTGCCTCCCCGCTGGCTGCGCGCCGTGTGTCCGGATGGCGGGTCAGTGATGACATGGAGACCTTGTCTGACCATAAATATATCACTATGGAGGTCTCCGTGCTCCCTAACCAACTCCGGAGCCGCCCCCCCAGCGAGAAGACCCCCACCCCAGGGGTGAGTCCTGCGTAAGCTGGACCCAAAAATCCTGTCCGCCGCTGTTCAGGCCGCGGCTTGGCCGGCTCCTCCGGCTGAGACGCGCGACCGCCGGACGGAAATTCGGTGGCTTGGCGAGATGCAGGTTATGGTATGCAACGCCGCAATGCAGCGTACTCGCGGGCCGCTAAACCGGAGGTTGGTGTACTGGTAGACTGGCAAAATAGCTGACCTCAGGGCGGCGTGCGCCAGATCCAGAGACCAGTACACCCGTGCCTTCCGCCACAAAAATGTGGCCGGAGTGGCAAGAGCAGCGGCGGCGTACGAGGGGTGTCGTCAAGCACAAAAAGCCCTTTGTATTGCCATAAGCCAGGCCAAATCCAGGGCGTGGAAAAAGCTCCTCGAGACTCTCGACGCTGATCCGTGGGAGCGCCCATACAAGCTTGTTATGGGCAAGCTTCGCCCGTGGACACCTCTGATCACGAAGAGTCTTGACCCCCAGCTTCTGGAGAGAGTCGTCACCTCGCTTTTCTTTGATGGGAGGGGCGAGTGGCCCTCTCCGGAGCCGGAGTCGGACACAGTTGAGTGGTCCAACGAGCTGGGGGTCACAGAGGAGGAGCTGCGCTGGGCCGTCCGTCGGATGACACAAAAAAGCACTGCTCCATGTCCCGCGGCGTGCCCGGCAGAGTCCTGGGTCTAGCGGATTGGTCCCGACCTGGCTGACTGCCAGTTCGGGTTCCGTGAAAAACGATCAACGGTGGACGCAATCTACCGTCTTAGGTCCCTCACGGACGAGTCGGTCAGGCAGGGGGAGGGGTGGCGTTGACGGTGTCCTTGGACATCTCCAACGCCTTTAACTTCCTCCCCTGGGGCAGCATAAGGCGGGCGCTAAAACATCACGGCGTCCCGCCCTATCTAAGCAGCATTCTCGGAGACTATTTCCGCGGCAGAAGGAGAAGATATACCGGCCGGTACGGATCACCGCACAGGAGGGAGATGTGCCGCGAAGTCCCGCAGGGATCTGTCTTGGGCCTCTTGTTGTGGGACCTTGG